TCTTTGGAGGTGGCTAGGACAGAGGAAAAAAGAGGGCCAGGACCGCTGTGGATCAAAGGCTGATGTGCCTGCCTTAGACAATCATTGTTTACAATTTTAACTCCTTCAACTTGTTAGCTGTTTCCACGGAATACACACATGTTGAATTTCCAAGACAGCATCGTATACCCTGTACCACGCTACAAAACCCAACCTCCCAGCTGCCCTTGCTTGAACAAGAATGGCCTGCTAAAAGTAGAGCAAAAACTTACAAGGGGCAGCAATGTCCCTCTTAAATACCCTCATTAATACGAACCACGGTGAAACACGATTGTAGAAATGGCCAGCATTAAACAACAACAAAAAAAGTTTGCCAGTTCACATTTCTTTTAGAGCACGGTTTTATATGAGAGGATAAAGGACAGGAAGAGGAGTGTCCATCTTGTTTAAAACGAGCTGTTCATTCCCCTAAGGACTCTTTGCCTGTGATGTGAGGAAGTGAAGACCACACAGCTAGTTATACAGCCTTTGCTTCCTATTTGGCAAGTTCACCTGTTAAAGCTACGACAGGCTGTTCCCTTGGGGAGTGGTGGAAAAGTAATAGATAAGTTTGCGTGTTGATGTTATGATATAGCCCAAGTGTTATAAACTGAACTCTGTTAGGGTGAATTTCACTTTTGCTGGAATGGGCTTTCTTTCCTCCTCCTTTAAACAGTGGACTTACAGCAAATCCCAGAAAAGTACTCATACTAATTTATTCTAGAAAGCATTCTTCCCTGTGCAAAGGACGCAGAGCTAACCGGGGAGAGAGGAGGGGCTTTGGTGAATAGAACTTTCTAAGTCACAGCTGGTTAGCAGGACTAGAATGCATGGAAAAGCTGGCCTGAATTACATGAGTGGGTAGAGAGCTTTGAAATCCTCGGAATGAATGGAGGAGTCCATCATGATTCAAAGGTCTGGGCTCAGCGGGCCCGGGAAGGGAGAGAAGCTGAAGGGGACCCGGGGCAGTGAGTCTGCACCCCTTTCGTCCCAAACTCCGCATTGAGGGCGTTTCCATCCATAACCTCGCCTGTCAGTTCAGGCTGTGGATTTCTGCTTTCTAATTCCTAAGTAGAACTTAACAAGCTGGCGGTTTTGTCTTGCCACCTGACGAGGGTTAGGAAACAGTCACTCCAACCAGTTGCTTCAGTCCGGAGAACGTGAGCACATTCTACTCTTTCTGTTCAACTGTTTTGAAAAAAATATAACCGATGTGATTCGGGTTAGAAGGGGCTTGGATCGGTGACTTGAAAACACTCGCCACGACCGCAGACGACTTCGGAAGTTGGCCAGAAATGGGTGCAATGCAGGATTTCGCGCGTCCTAAACCCAGGGGTCAGAGCACGGGTGGTTTCCACCAACTTGAGGTTAAGATGATGAAGCAGACCCGCGGGGAAGGGCCCCATGCGTGGCCCGTGGAAACTCAAAGCAAGCCTCGGACCCCCAGGGCGCACGGGCCCAAGACGCGGGGCGGCCGCCGGGTCGCGGGCA